CTCCCCCTCCTCCCAGCTTACTTTACGAGACCACGCCCCCGGATACGTACAGCCAGTCACACATAGGATCGCTCCACACGGTGGTACCCAGCGGCAACTGTCTTTTAACGGACATATTAACGAAAGCACATCAAGCGGAAACTAAGCCACGATGTGCAATTGCCAAAATAAGTTATAGCATTGCAACCACGCCAGTACATCTTTTGCCACGATGATCCCATTTGCGATCCCCACCGCTAATCACTCTATCAGCCGTCATCGGTTAAAATGAGCCCGTTAATCACAAAGGGCGGTCACCGTGCATTCGCACCCGCGCGACCCACTCGACGGACAGGGCTGCCGACCAGAGCCGTGTTTCATTGCCCTGCTCAGCATAGCACGACCAGCACCTGTCCCGACCCGCGCCACGGCCGACCTCCTACCGTCCTCCGAGGATCGCACTCGCGAGTCCAGTGCCGTCCACTAAGGACAGCGCTCGTCAGTCGGGCACCGTCCTCCAAGGACAACGCTCGTAAGTCGAGCATCGTCCTGAGGACAGCGCTCGTAAGTCGAGCATCGTCCTCGAGGACAGCGCTCGTAAGTCGAGCATCGTCCTGAGGACAGCGCTCGTAAGTCGAGCGCCGTCCTCCGAGGACAGCGCTCGTAAGTCGGATGCCGTCCTACGAGGACAGGGCTCGTAAGTCGGATGCCGTCCTCCGAGGACAGGGCTCGTAAGTCGGGCGCCGTCCTCCGAGGACAGGGCTCGTAAGTCGGATGCCGTCCTACGAGGACAGGGCTCGTAAGTCGGGCGCCGTCCTCCGAGGACGCGCGCTGACCGATGAGACTGCGCGGCGCCCCGGCCTCGGTCCGGTTAGCTCCACTTGAACGGCGAGAGAGCGGAGAGGGTGGAGCCGACCGAGTCCATGGTGGAGCCCACCGCCGACCGGCCGGAGGGCAGCTGGAACGCACAGATGGCACGCCGTGACGCCCCGTCATGGGGGCGGAACCGCCCGAGTACGGCACAACTGTACCATGTCACGCCATGGCCCTAGTTATGTTTTGGTTGTTCACCGCCCTAAGTGTCCTAATTTGCAGCTTTATGACAGTGTCGTAATGAAACTCATACACCCGTCGAAATGAACGAATTTCGATCGCACCATACACTGAGTCTGGGGGGAAATATAACGATGTAAAATACGCCATATGTGAAAAACATTAATAGCGAAAAGGGTTCGACGCCTTCATAACAATATATAGAATCACACACTAAGTGTACTGAATATGCATCCAGTACTCCAAGCTTGATAGCGTAGTTCAGTGACAAAATCCCTGCTCTGTTCGAAAAAAGCAAAAACTGAGGAAGAAACTCACCAAGGATTGACGTTGTTCCTCCTTCTCCAAAACTTTCGCTGTTTGTTCTGAGTTGAACTTAAGAACGGCGGTGATAACCTTGGCCAGCGTCTGAAAGCGGAATGCATTGGACAACGCGCCGACACAAAAACTATAAAGTGGAAAAACTGATGTTCGACAAAGCGATCTGCCCAACAACCAACACCAAAGACGTTCCCTGAAATGTTGCGGTATCATTCATTGTTGCATTTGTTTTCACTGTCTAATTCAGGAGCGGCCTCGAAGCGCTGCGGGGGACTGGGCGCGCGCCACATTGAGGCGGCGCCGGGCACGTGGCCGCCCTCAGCTCCGTCGGCGCGTCCTGAGCCCGTCGGGCCGGACGCGGCGCTTCCCCGCCCCGATCCCGACGCGACGGCTCGGCACACCCGATGTCGCCGGAGCCGCCGCAGCGGCCCCAGACCGCGGCCGGGGCGGCGCGGCGTCTCTCAGCGGGGCGGCCTGCGACACCGGCCGACGGAGGCGGGCGGCTGGCGTGTCGCCGCGCGTGGCCGCGGTGCTCGCCCAATGTCGCACTCACCAGCGGCTCCCGGCCCATCATGTACTCGTACAGGATGTTCCTCAGGTACTCGACCTCTGTGACGGCGTCCAGCGTGGCGGCGCTGTCGGCGGCTGGCGGCGGCGTGTGGCGCAGTGCCAGCAGACGCCGCAGCTCCGACACCTCCCGCCTGAGGGGTCACAGCGGTCAACACCGCGCAGATCCGACACCTCCCGCCTGAGGAGTCGCAGGGGTCAACAATATGCATGTCCGATGCCCCGCACCTGAGGGGATGCAGGGTCAACACTGTACATATCCAATACCTCCCGCATGAGGAGTCAAAGGGATCAACACCGCGCAGATCCGACACCTCCCATCTGAGGGATCGCAGGAGCCAACACTACACATATCCGACACCTCCCGTCTGAGGGGGCACGGGGGCCAACACCACATATCCGATAACTCCCGCCTGAGGGGTCACAGGGGCCAATACCGTAGAGATCCGACACCTCCCGCCTAAGGGGTTACAGGGGCCAGCACAGTGCATGCCCGACACCTCCCACTTAGGGGTCACAGAGATCAGACAAGCCCACAGATCAGACACGTCCCGTCCGGGCAGTCACAGGATGCAGGCCCGGGTCGACGACCGGCTCCCCACCCCTACCGTGCGAGGGCTCCAGATCGCACGAATCGACGGAGCCCGCACCTGTACAGACACTGGCTGGATCAGGCTGAACCTGTACCAGCCTCAGTCCAAACCCTCTCATACGGAAGCCCCACGACAGCTCTGAAACGGGACGCGCCGCGTCTGTATCGGCGTTGGCGAGTGTACATAAACACTCCTCGGTCGTTACGCTGCACAGCCGGGCCGCTTAAGCGCCGGCCCAGACCGGCACATAACTAGCCGCCGGCGCGCCGCTGCGATAAGGTACAGCCCGAACGCCGAATCCTAATGGGCTTATTGCCGGGTCAACGGTCGGCAAGGCGGCCGGACGGAGGGGCGCGGGACTCAGGCCCGGCCAGCAGCCTCGTGACCCATCAGTCGGAGGCGGCGGGGCACGTGAACTGCACCGAGGGCAGCGGGTGTGGCCCACTCGCCGTCCACCGGCCGGCCTCGTCCAGCGCGGCCGGCTGGCATTCGCTCCCAGCGGCCAGCGGAGACTAGAGATCGAATTTCGGCTTGCTCCTCGGCAGAAATTTGCGTCGTTACTGAAGGGTCGCTGGTGGACAGCTGGTTCACACTTGGAATCATCTGAGGCCTGGTGTCTGGGCAGGTTGACCACATGTATCAATACGCGCTCACGCCAGCGCCGGCATTCTCGCCTGACCAGTGCTGGACTCGGGTTGATGTCAGCGCCGGTATGGGTACCACTGCAGCCTACTGTCGGGATACCCACCCGGGCGGAGCGGGCCGGGGGGGGGGGGGGGAGGGGGCGGCGCCCGACTCACTGGTGCCTCCTCTCAGCCTGCTGCAGCTGTCGGCGGCAGGCCAGTGTCTCCCGTTGCAGCGCGGCCACGGACGCGTCGCTCTGGGCCGGCAGACGGCCGCTCTGGCTCTGTGCGGGCCCGGACAGCAGCGTCAGCAGCGTCAGCAGCGTCGGCACCGGAGGCCGCTGACACGCAGCACACAGAGCGCTCGACGGCGGACAACAGGCAGCGGACACGGCACACAGCGCGGCCAGCGGCGGCCGCCGATTGGCCCGGTCACCACGCCGGCGTCGCGACCGACCAATGACTGACGGAGGACGTGTCTGGCACACGCACGCCCGCTGCGTCGCCGAGCCTTGCCGTCGGCCCTGGTGGAGCTCGCCGCCGCTCCGTCGGGGAACGTCTGACACACACCGTCGGCGTCTGCCCACTCCTGGCACCCTGCTGGTCCCCGCTGGTCACGGCGAAAACAACCGATAACCATGGAGGGCATGCAGCACACCAGACCAACCCAACTATGTGCAGAGGACAGAGCGAAGCTCCACTGGGAATAAGCCTCGAAACGCGCAGCAGTGCTCGAGAACGCTATTGCTAATTCACTTCACGCTGATGGTATTTCACCATCGAGCCAAAAATCAACAATATATATGCCAATAGAAAATAGCCGTTGTCAGGTGCTGCGCCGGCTGCTTACTCCGAGATCTGAGCGGCGCTCCACCTCCAACCGGCCGTTCTGCTCGTCCACGGGCCAGCCGAGCATGACCGGCTCGTCCGAGGGGCCCTCGTCCCGGCGGGTGGCTTCCGAGGTCTCCTCGTCCGCAGCCGACCACGGCCTCTGCTGAAACAGACGCGCTGGTAGAGGCGCGAAACAGGCTGCTGTCGAGACAAACTGCTGCCACTGCAGCCGGACCGCGCCACCTTCTCTCCAGGGAGTACTCAGATATGCAGATAACAGAAGGTAACCCCTATATACACACATAAAAACGTGAGCGTTCCATCCGTAAACGGAAATGGTTTGACAGACTGGATGCATCCAAAGGTACGGCTGAAGCTTCTTCAGTGCATGCCAGTTTCATTCAGTGCAAGCAGCCCCTTGCCCGGTGCTCTTAAACGGTTCGGCGCAAGAAGTATTTACTGGTATATTGACTCTCGAATAAAATAACACCAGCTTCGGTCAGACGCATTCCATCGGCATAGCCATGGTGTGCATCAGCTTGAGCTGCGCTCAGACCAGGGCCGGGATTCGCCACAGCAGTCCAGTTCACCAGCCGGTGCGCGGCTCTCCGCGACGGAGCGCCGCCGCCCGCTTGGTGCAGCGACCAGTCCCTCACCTGGCCCGGGGACGCGAGTGTGGGCTCCTGCCCCTGGCGGCGCGCGCGCTCCTGGCGCAGCTCGGCGGCCAGGCTGGCCAGCCGGCCGGCGGACATCCGCACGAGCTGCGCTGGCCGGCCGGCCTCTGGGCGCGCCGCTGGAGTGAGCTTCTCCGCGCTGCTGGCGTCCAGCTCGCGCAGACTGGCCTCCAGTGCGGTCAGCGCGCTGCTGAGCTCCGCAGAGTCGCGCACGGGGTCCTCACGCTCGACTCCAGCCTCGCTGCGACCCCGCTCCTTTCTCAGCTGCGCTTCCAGCTCCTGGGACCGGTGCAGGAGATCTTGATGCGCGACTCTGTCCGCCTCGACCCGCGCCCGCTCCATCCCCAGCTGTGCCTCCAGCTCCTGGGAGCGGTGCAAGAGTTCCTGGTGCTCCTGTCTGTCCGCCTCGACCCGCGCCCGCTCCGTCTCCAGCTGCGCCTCCAGTTCCTGGGAGCGGTGCACGAGTTCCTGGTGCTCCTGCTTGTCCGCCTCGACCCGCGCCCGCTCCGTCTCCAGCTCCTGGGATCGGTGCAGGAGTTTCTGGTGCTCCTGTCTGTCCGCCTCGACCCGCGCCCGCTCCGTCTCCAGCTGCGCCTCCAGCTCCTGGGAGCGGTGCACGAGTTCCTGGTGCTCCTGTCTGTCCGCCTCGATCCGCGCCCGCTCCGTCTCCAGCCGCGCCTCCAGCTCCTGGGAGCGGTGCAGGAGTTCCTGGTGCTCCTGTCTGTCCGCCTCGACCCGCGCCCTCTCCGTCTCCAGCTGCGCCTCCAGATCCTGGGAGCGGCGCAGGAGCTCCTGATGCTCGGCCACCCCGGCCTTGCACTGGCTCCGCTCCCGCTCCAGCTCCTGAAGCGCCGCCTGGTGCTGAGATTCCAGCTCCCGCAGGTGGCGCTGGTGCTCTGCCGCCTGCTCCGCTAGCCGAGACTCCAGCGAGGAGACGTGTTCCTCCTGCAGGCAACTCAGCTCCCGCCTGCAACGGAATGTGCCACGTATATGCGACGCCGAGACTTTACTACGACGTACACCTACTACAAATCAGCCAGTTATGAATAAATTAGAGCAATCAATCACCACGAGTTAGCCGCCAGCTGACCAGCACCAGCTGACACCCGAGGCGGTGGGCTGCGCACCTATGCTGCTCGCCGAGGTGCGTGGAGAGTTCCTCTATCGCCCGAGAGCCCTGCGACGCCGCCTCCCGTGCACTCGCCAGCTCCTGCTCCAGCTCGGCGGTCCGGCCCTGCAGGGTCTCCAGCTCCGCCCGCCAGCTCTCGGCCTGAGGGGATACACTGTCATCACCGGCGAGCCTGACGGCGGCACGGTCAGCTGACGCACACGCCGACACTGACGCGGCAGCGGCTGAGAACAGGGTATCCGCACAGGCATCTGGGAAAACAATGTGCTTTTATCGCCAAACCCCAGCACCCATGCACAAGCATCACACCCGTCGACCACAACTAAATATATATCACGCCTGTTGGGTGGGGACGACAGTCGGTCATCGTCCCATCCCGGGCTGACAAAGGGTGCGTGAGGGCGGGCGGGCCTGGGTCCTGAGCTGGCGGTACATCCTCACCTCGCCAGCGGTCTGCTGAGCGGCGGACAGCGCTGTCATCAGCTGCAGCTCTCGCTCAGCCACGGTCGACTCTCGCGTCTCTAGCTCTGCCTTCCCCTGTATCAGGTCCGACTCCCGTGTCTTCAATGCCTCCTCCCTCTGCACCAAGTCTGACTCCTGTTCCTTCGATGCCTCCTCTCTCTGTGTCAGGCCTGACTCCTGCTCCTTTAACATCTCCTCTCTCTGTACCAGACTACATTCCTGTTTCTTTAATGCCTCATCCCTCTGCATCATGTCAGTCTCTTGTTTCTTCAACACCTCCTCCCTCTGTACCAAGTCAGTCAACTGTTCCTTCAACACCCCCTCCCTTTGCACCAAACCAGTCAACTGCTCCTTCAACACCTCCTCCCTCTGGGTCAGGTTCGACTCCTGTTCCTTCAACATCTTCTCCTTCTGTGCCAGGTCGGACTCTTGTTCCTTCAACACCTCCTCCCTTTGCATCAAGCCAGTCTCCTGTTCCTTCAACACCTCTTCCCTTTGTACCAAGCCAGCGTCCTGTTCCTTCAACACGTCCTCCCTCTGTGCCAAACCCGACTCCTGTTCTTGCAATGCTTCTCCCCTTTTTACCAGATTGAGTTCCTGTTTATTTAACGTCTCCTGTCTCTGTATCAGGTCAGTCTCTTGTTCCTTCAACTCCTTTTCCCTCTGTAACAGGCTGGACTCCTGATCCTCCCTCTGTAGCAGGCTAGCCTCCTGTTTATTCAATACCTCCTCCCTTTGAGCAAGGCCTGACTCCTGTTCCTTCAACACCTCCTCCCTATGTACCAAACCAGTTTCCTGTTCCTTCAACACCTCTTCCCTCTGCACCAAGCCAGCCACCTGTTCCTTCAACACCCCTTCCTTCTGTTCCAGGCTTGACTCTCGTTCCTTCAATGCCTTCTCCCTCTGTACCAATTCAGCCTCCTGTTCCTGCAACACCTCCTCCCTCTGTACCAGCCCGGATTGTTGTTTCTTCAGTGCTTCTCCCATTTGTACCAGACCGCGTTCTTGTTCATTTAATGTCTCCTGTCTCTGAATCAGGCCAGTCTCTTGTTTCTTCAACTCTTCCTCCCTCTGCACCAAGCTGGACCCCTGTCCCTCCCTTTGCAACAGGCCAGCCTCCCGCTCATTCAGTGCCTCCTCCCTATGCATCAAACTGAACTCCTGTTCTTTTAGCACCCTCTCCCGCTGTTTCAGCCCTGTGTCCTGTGCCACAGACGTCGCATTCCACTCCCCCAATCGCGCCTCTTTCTCCTTGAGCGCCTCTTCTTTTGCATCCAGATGCGTCTTTTGCTCGGTCACGGCCTCCTGTTTCTGAACCACCTCTGATTCTTGGTCCTTCAGCTTCCCTTCCATCCCTTCCAGTTGCACCTCCCGGCCTTGCACTTTCTCTCTTTCTCCCGCCAGTTGGACCTCCTGTTCCTTCAACGCCTCTTCTCTCCGTGCCAGGGTGTTCTCCCGTTCCTGCAGCGTTTCTTCCCTTTCTCCGAGGCGACTCTCACGCTGTCTCAGGGCGTCTTCTTTCAGCCCAAGATGGACCTCCTGCTCCTTCAACGCGTCCTCCCTCTTTCCGAGGCGGCTGTCCCGCTCCTGCGTCACCTCTTGCCGTTGACCCAGCTCGGCAGCCCGTTTCTCTAACTCATGCTCCCTCTGTTCCACAATGTTCACCTTTCTGTCGCAATCCTGTTCCTTCTGCGAGAGCTGGATATCCCGTGAATCCAGATCCTGATGTTTCTTCTGCAAACCCGACTCCGACCCCTCGTGCTCCAGTTTGTATTGCGACAGCTCCTGATGCGAAGAAAAGTATCTCGTGTCAGCGTCCAAGGTGATGCATCATGCAAACAACCATTCAATCTTCACCAATTCCAAAGCATTTCAGTACCCCAACAATGTTTTTCTCCCCATGCGTAGCACGTGACACAAATAATGGTTGCACAATGGCCAGCGTCCATTTGAAATTAAGTACAATATGCACGCATCAACAATACCAAGCGTCAGATATGACGAATTAGGTTCATTTAAGTGGAAAAGGCCGCTCTAATCAGCTCAAGTTGTCTGTTTAGTAAATACGCTCCTCAATATATCATTGTTTGGTTGCGTCATCGTACCTTGCAGATATTGATTTGGAGCCGAATGACGGCCGTTACATCCCGAAATGATGTTCACGAACGCCAGATATGAAAGACTTGACTATATCTTTATTTGCCTTGATCGCCGCATGACTAATGGAATGGCAGGATTTGAATGACGTTAATATGGCGTCATGGACGCCTGGTTGACATCGAACTGATTTCGGGCAGACTGTAATAGTCTCCCCGAAGAAGTCTGCACATCTTGGCGGGCGTGTAGCTCAGAAACCCGAGAGCTTTAGGCCTTGAGAAGGGTATGGCTGTAAGCCGCACCGCACGATCTTCAAGATGACTGTTCAAGCTCAAAACCCCATACAAACGTGGAACACTCCCTTTAATGTTTTTAGGGTTATCACACCTGTACTAGAGTGCTCCTCTCTTTATCGAACTGCTCGCGCAGTTTCTTCAGCTGCATTTCATGGTCCTCACTGAGCTTGGCTGCTTCCGATTCCGCCGTTTTTACTGCAAGACGTAGGATGCTGTCATTCAGATCGCTCAAGCGGTACAGCTCATACATATATTTTGGGCGAGAACGCTGGGTGGTCTCAATCTTGGCACAATCTCCGTCACTGTGTTCGCGCCAGTTATTCTCGCGATGACTTAGTAAATGATTTCTGATTCTACAGTAACAGGCAGTTTTTCATTTCTACAGTAACAGCTTCAGATTCTACAGTAACAGCAGGCAGTAACGTACAGAAATGCTTACAGAAAACACTTAATGACAGCGTAGAATATGTAAAAGAAAAAAACACCAGAAACGTGTAAATCAATGGCACGACCAGATTGGTCCACGCATTTCAAGCGACTTCTCGGCACCTCACATTTAAAGCGACCATACGGTATTGCGGACAGGCCCAAGGCCAGTTGAAGTCGCAGAGCGCAGTCTGGCAGGCAGACAGACAGACAAACAGACTCTCAGACAGATTTACAGACAGGGAGAAAGACAGAGAAAGGCACACACAGACACGCAAAGACAGACAGACAGACAAAAAAACACGTACAGACAGGCAGACATACCCAGCTGCTGAGCCTCGGCCGCCTCCTGCTGCAGCCGCTGCACCTGCGAGGGAGAGGGCGGCTCACTGGACGCGCCCCCACTCGACACCACCGCAGACGGGCCGTGGGACAGCCGACGTGGCGGGAGCCCTGTTCACGTGAGCGGCCGCGCCCAGTGGGAGTTCGCGGCAGCGCACGCTCTTCCCCACTCGACACCACCGCAGACGGGCCGTGGGACGCCCGACGTGGCGGGAGCCCTGTTCACGTGAGCGGCCGCGCCCAGTAGGAGTTCGCGGCAGCGCACGCTCTTCCCCACTCGACACCACCGCAGACGGGCCGTGGGACAGCCGACGTGGCGGGAGCCCTGTTCACGTGAGCGGCCGCGCCCAGTAGGAGTTCGCGGCAGCGCACGCTCTTCCAGCGTGCCAGCCCTCCCTGATTGCACTAGGTAAAACGATGTAATTTATTATATCCTGTAGTTGATTGATACTAGGTGGGAATATATCGTCCACTCGCGCAAAACGAAGCATCTCCTAGGGCTCCGCGATCCCAATCGATCAAACAGTTCACAAGGTCCATATGCGCCGCTGTTGTGACCCCGGCTGACCTGGCCGTCGCTGTGTTCTAGCTGACTCCGCAGCTCCGATAGAGCCTCCTTCAGCCGTTCCAACTCGGCCCTGGCGCCCTCCTGTCGAGAAACAGCGATGACCAGTCAGAAGGCGCAGCCGCCAATCACAGCGGCTCCCGCTGGCAGGGCGCTGACGGCCGACCAGTCAGCATCCAGCTATAGCGCTGGCCGCATGCGCAAGGGCCAATCACAGCCGCGGACTGCGGGCACGTGGCCGGTTCATGATTAAGCCACGTCGTCACTCTCCGAACTCATGAGTCCGAGCTACTGGTGAAGGAAGTCAAGAGATGAGACATGCAAGTGTGTAAAAGTTGCGACAATAGATTCCTAAACTCTCTTTATGACATCTGCCTTTCTGCACCGCACTTGTTTTTGGCCAATACCATGGACAACAAACTTGAATGAGGTTGGGATTACCCATGTCTGCATTGTACGTGCCTGCATGCTGCAATGAGTGAAAGAGCATCCAAATAAACCGACACGTGCTGTTTCAGGCAGCGCCGCTTGGCTTGTTCGACCGATCTGTTCATGGGTGAGGAGCGGTGAGATGCCTCAGTAGAGCAAACCTGCAGCAACCAATGTCTTTCAATGACAAAATGCTCTTCTGATGATGCTAACATCAGATAATGCTAACTCCTGCACATACAGGTGTGGCCACTGCTACCTCTGCCACACTGCACTCTGTGTCAATGATTCTGTCCAACATCCGAGATAACCCCGGCCCACCCCGAGCCCAGCGTCTGGCCAGCTGGCCAATCTGTCTTCTGCGCCTGGGTCCCGTCCTCTGTACCTGCAGCACGCTGCTCTGGGCCAGCTGCTGCTCCGCCTGCTGCTGTAGCTGCTCCTTCTCCGCAGCCGCCGCCGACAGACGCGTCTTGTGCTGACGGATGCTCTCCTTGCACTTGACCAGCAGTCCCTCCAGCTGTGCCACCTTGTCTGCAGTGCCGGCGGGCCAGGTCAGGCTCGTCCGCCGGCACTCGGACCTACGCTGAGACACCGGCTCCGCGTACAGTATCGCCATACAGTGAAATAAACAGGCCGACCAGCACATGGGATGTAGCAGGACCAATGAGTAACAAATGCGCCGCAAAGGCAAAAGGTGCTTTAAAAAGCAGTGTGCAACAGTTAATTTGACATGTCCTTAAATATGCTCCTAAAAGTGTTACCGGTCCAGCGACGAGTCCCGATTCCAGTGCACACGGCTGTCACAAGCGGCGGTGCCCCACCTTTGAGCCGGTCGACCTCCGCCGACCTCTCGGCATCGCCGGGAGCTAGCGGGGTGGTGGCCGTCGGTGCCGACCCGTTCACCTCGGCCACGACCGGCGAGGTGTCGCCGGCGCCGCCCTCGCCGTGCTCCTGAGGCAAGGCAGCAGGCGGCGGCCGGTCAGCTCCTGACGCGTCACATGGTCATGCCACCACTGCAGACAACCGCCACTGCTGGGAACTGGACTCATTCATAGCGCATAGACTTGCTTGGATGGCGAGCAAAGATCATCTCATATCCAACTTATGTCAATAATAAAATGCTTAGGCTCCGGTTTTGAGCGTTTCACTCCTGTTTCAAATATGTTCTTCAAGAACGGTTAGCACATTGAATTTCATTTCACTTCGACTTTTTTCATTGACATTAACTTTGGAGAGTCGCGACTCGACGCAGACCAGGGTGTCGCCAGAGCGGTTCGTCGAAGAGTCGCGACTCGACGCAGAACAGGGTGTCGCCAGAGCGGTTCGTCGGAGCTTCTTTGTCGAGACCCAGGTTGACGTGTGAGCGAACTTATAGCCGGCTTTGTATCCGCTGCCCATGTGATTTGAAACTATCGCTCCATGGCGCAGTGCTGCCACGCTATATGAAACTGCGGAAATCCTCTGCAGCGTAACTGCCCGGCCGGACCCGACAAGAAAAACTCGCGGCTGGGGTTGACTCCGCCGCCGCCGCCTTCGCCGCCGCCAGCCGCACCAGCACCAGCGGCGGCTACAGCGTTCTTCCACTGACGACGCCGCAGTGTGTTCGTCCCAGACAGAGGCCATGAGCCAGGCGTCACTGGCGGCCGACCGAGAGGAACCAGCCCGCACCAGGCGTCAGCGGTAGCATGATGACACGGCACCATATGACGATGGAACCGCGTGAAAAGGACATAAGGTGACACTGGCCCCGTATTGGTAGCAAGTACGAGAACAAAGCCGGCGTCAACTTCAGTGGGGCAACATCCCAGCTTTCCTCCCACGGCTTCGGATTCGACTTTGGCTTCGAGCCACTGCCCACGGCTGACTTGGGCTTCGGTTCCGCGCCCTTTCACATGGATGGCCTTGGCTTCAGCTTTGCGTTCGTTGAAAAAGCTAGCTTCAGTTTCAGCTTCGAACAATTAGTCCCTCACAACACACAATGGGGCAATTGTGTGTGAATTCTACTCTTCCGTAAAAGTCCGCTGATGAAAACATATCCTCAGCGCTTAAAAAAAATTAAAGCTTCAGATGTGTTGTTGCCACTAATGACAAGATATTTAAGAATTAATGCGAATTGTTCAATGAGCAAAATTAATGTTGATCTTTTCACTATCAAATCATTCCTCAAGACTTTTGAGGTAATCCACATTGCATACAACCTAATAGCTCAATTAGCTGGAATGCATGCCTTCCAATTCACCCACTCTTGGAGGGACGGGTTCCAGTTGATTTAGGCGCCCACTAACCGGGAGGCCTCCCCTGACCGGGGAGCCCTGTGGCTGGTGTCAGCGGCCGCGCTAAAGGTCGGGTAGCGTCAGCGGGGAGGGCAGACAGTGCTGAGCATCGCGGCACATCATGCTTTCGTCACAGAACTGTATCGTTGACCGGGAATTTGAGATCAGACGGTAGGATCAGGACTCGCGCCACACGCCCTGTTTAGCAAGCCTCGGTCTTAGCGCCGGTCCAGAAATTCATCGAATCAGGTGTGGACTAAAACTTCAAAAATATTCTGATGACCTAGCAAGCTGCGCACCACTGCCCGTGGCCATCACGTCCGAGGCGACTTCGTCTCGTTTGCGGGCAGAGGAAACTGTACTGGCATGTTGGATTTGTGCCTCCTGTCAGCAAAGGATATCTTAAGTTCTCAACTGTCCTACCCACGCAGTGGTCCATGAACCGCGTCGAGATTCTGTTAACAATGGCCTTATTTCAGTAGCTCTGCAGTCTATAGCGACGCAGTGATAGGGGTGGCAGTGCTACCGCATAGCCTTGGCAGTACACTATGCAGCGACTGCGCGAAACCCGTGGTACGGTACAGCGGTGCAGCGGCTCGAGGCCGTACCTGTGGGCCGGGGCTGGAGGCGCGCTGCTGCAGCGCCTGCTGCAGCTCGGCTCGGAGCTCCTCCTCCCGGCTGAGCCGCTGCTTCAGCTCGGCGTCCCGCTGCTGCACCTGCGCCTCGCTCGCCTGCAGCGCCTCCTGGCCCCGGAGAAGGCGCTCGTCAGCAGACGCACGGCCCGGCACGTCCCCATTCTGGTGACTGGGGCGGAAACCTTCCGACAGCCCTTGTAACTCTTCCTCTAGACCCTGACTCCCCTGATATACTCTCTTCTGATACAGTCATAGAGTCACATCGTGACCAGAGTCCGTGACTTTCCTGATATCCTCTGCAACCATTCAAACTGGCACAGTAACATTCCCAACAGTCTACGTGACTCTCTTAAGACCTGTGACTTTTTCACTCCGACTTTTCAATCATACTACAGTGTTCTCAACAAGATTCGTAACAAAACGCATTGTGATACTCCCTAACAGCCCATGCGACTTCTGACACTCCATTACCTTGCTGACACTCAGCAGCTCGCCTGACTCGATGACACTCCTAACAGATCTTGTAACATTGCAGCCTCATGACCCTGCGGAGTGGCTGCGGCACTCTCCGGACCCGCGAGCCGGCCGACTGACCCGCGAGAGCCGACAGTCGACCTCCAGAGCGTGGCACGAGCGCGCCAGCTCGGCGTGGCGCGCCCGCTGCTGGCTGTACTTGGCGCGGATGCGCTGGTAGCTCTGCAGCAGCTGCTCCTTGGTGACGGTGCCCAGGCTGGCCAGCGAGCTCACCTCGCTGACGGCGTCCAGATCTGCCTGCCGGGGTCACGGTCGCCGCACAGTCACGCGGCCGGCGGCCATGCATGTTCACACGGCCGCGCCGCCGGCGGCCACAAACCACGACAGTCCAGCCGAGAACAGGGCGTGACGCTCGTGGAAAAGGCACGCTTACTAATGATTCATGTTGATAAAAAAGTACCGACATTAATCACTCAGGGTCAGCGAAACATCTGTCGGCACCGGGCGCCCCTGTATGACATGGCCGGTTGCCACACCGCCAGTCGGGTGCGCCTCCGCGGCCGCCGTTCTCCCGCTCCAGGGCGGGGCAAAGTACGCACGTGCTGACAGTGCAGGTGGCCATCTGGGTGTCGCAGCCAGTCCCCCACCGTCTTGGCGTGGTGACGTGCCCGGGCACCGCCCGATACCCGGCCTCCGACCGACGCCGTCTCCGAGCGGCCGCCTGACCACACACAGGGTCATCAGGGCTACACATGGTGACACACAAGGCCATCAGGGCCACACATGGTGACACACAAGGTGATCAGGGCTACACATGGTGACACACAAGGCCATCAGGGACACACATGGTGACACACAGGGCCATCAGGGCTATGCATGGTGACACACAAGGTGATCAGGGTCTCACATGGTGACACACAGGGCCATCAGGGCCTCACAAGATGACACAGGGCTATCAGGGCCACACATGGTGTCACACAGGGCCATAAGGGCTACACATGATGACACACAGGTCATCAGGGTCACAACTCATGACAGAGGGTCATCAGGGTCACACATGGTGACACACAGGGCCATCAGGACCACACATGGTGACACACAGAGCCATCAGGACCACACATGGTGACACACAGGGTCATCAGGGCCACACATGGCTGGGCCCTGCAACAGTGTTCCAATATTTGGTCATTTGGGTGGCATGGATGCCCAGATTTTTTCATGCTATTTCACCCCTGCTTAGGACTCACTGCTGATTGCTCCACCCTTTGTTCAAAATCAGCCAATCAGCATCAAACAACATGGCTGTTAAACCAGCATCTATGCACCTCAGGATTGACAAATGGGCTGGGTAGGTCAGATCTTTGGGCACAGGTCAAAGGGCAACAGATTAGCACCTCAAACTGTGTGCATGACTGCCACCAGAGAGCCAAGATTCTGGTAGCATGAATTGATATTTACATCTTGCACACCCCACTGGATGAATTTTGGAATGCTGCCCTGCAACCATACTGCATGGGCTGCTGACTGTGGGACATTGGCTGGACCACAAAGTGCTGTGCTCTGGCCATAACAATTTAAATATGAGCCTGGTAATATTTTTATGATCATTGGGAGTTGAGCATCTGGGTGTGAGGTTAACAGAGACAGCCCTCAATCTGTAGGGTAAAACAAAACCCTTGGGTTAATGCCTTACCATCACCATCTATGCTGAGGGCTCCACCATCTATGTTCTCACTGGCTATTGATGCATCTGCATGTGACTGGAATAGAAAGCAAAAGTGCTTGAGCCTGATTGATCAGAAAAGAGTAATCAGTTGATTGATCCAGAGTCAGATTGTTGTACAGTAAATTAAGTTCCTGCTGTTTATATCAATGTGATGTGCAAGTCATGGATATTCAACATACACACACAGCTTTGAAGCACATACAATCTCAGATACTTTCAATACTTCCTTGGCTAAACAGTTGTGCAGTATTGTGCAAAAGATGAAAAAAATTAGCAGTGCTAAGATAAAAGGTATGCACAACACACTCAAATGGCCAGTTTTTTGCACCTAACTGGCATAAGCCTTACCTGAGTGCCATATTTGGCAGGTGCTGCTGAACCAGCTAGGCTGAGATCACTCCTGCCAACCCTGGAGCCCTCCGAAACATAGGATGCAAGCTGAAGCATCAAAGCAAACATAGGAATATAGATGAAGAATGTAATATGGCAGGTGTGACAGCGACCATACTAAATTTCAATGAAGAGGCTTGAATTGCATGTTCCCCAACAAAGCCTGTTTTGCCAACCAGTTGCATTGCAACAGATTTACTCAGCATACTCTGCCCATGCAAATAGAAGTTCTCAAATTGGTTGCTACTGAGGAATAATCACATAGACTTATAGGCAGATCACAAGGCAATGGTAAGATTTATCAAAGCTCAGTTAAATGTGAGGCCATATTTATCTAATTTATAGTATGGTGTAGGTGTACTGCGCATCACAATATTTTGCACTGTTTACAACAGGAATATTTGCATACAATATGTTCACATTATTGACAACCATAGTGCAGCAAAAAGACAACCCATATTCTACAGATAAGCAGCACCGTGCAATAATGATATCCAGCATAATACTTCAGTAGCACAAGCAAATAAGATAAAGAAAACACACCTGTGAGAGCTGCTGGATTGGGAGACGTATGGATGATTGACCGACTTCCTCGGATATCTTATCCTTCAATTTCTTGAACATGGTATCTTTTTAAAGCGAGTCAACCATCAAAACAATATACGATGAAGCAGCAACGACAAAAATCGTCAACTCATGACACAACTATTCACACCCCGCAATTTACAGCGCGACCACTACGTCGCTGAATTCACTGCGCGACTGCAGTGTTAGTGATCAGGAATTAAGTAATCCAACTGTACAGTTTAATTCAATAACTTTTCTCTTATTTCTTACGGTTGCTATAAAAAATGAGAATTAAAGACCTAATTTGTAAATATTATAATTGTTGTTTACAAAAAAATGCGTTATTCTATCTGTTTTTAATTAATATAAACAAATATTTTCCATGTAAACATTAAACACCGCCAGGAGTACTAGCAACTGCCACAAAGCATTGGCTTATGGGACTCCTCAGAGACAGATATCACGCAATTGGGACAATTCTGCTAGAGGTGACCACTAAAACTTTGATCGGCTATTTGGCAGGCCCCTAAGCATTGATACTCCGAGTTCATCCCGATTATTAAGAGGGATGTCAATTTTCGTGAATGAGTGGGGGAAGGGTCGAGCCAATGGCCCGATGAGCTCCTCCGACTCCGTTCTCAGTGGATTTAGTCCACTTTGTTTCGGCGACAGATAACATATGCTGTAAATGTTTGTAGCATTTAGAAAATAGTCCTTAATTTAAGAAGCACATCAGTCCTGGAGGGAAGGATGCAGAGGACCGGGGGAGGGGGAGGCACGTACCCCCTCTGATCGGAATGCAAAGGCGCCGTTCTAGAGGCCAACTTATGGTGACGCAGGCACATTTTATGGTGGTCATGGGCGGTGGCACGTATTTTTGGCTGTGGGGGACGGTAACAAGGCTAGTCATGAACAGCAGCACATGCAGAGGGCACAGGGGCACGTTCTCCCCCTCCCCCCCCCCTTTAGGCTCCAAGGGACCTGAAGAGCCCAATGAAACCTACGATAAGGGCCCGATTTGAAGGCCCGAAGGGCCCGGTCGCAGATATTATTCAGGGCCCTCATTCCGCAGGGCCGGGCACCCCGATGGCAGCCAGAGGGCTCTGGGCGCTAATCAGGGGCACCCTGTGTCGATGAGGGCCTATATGTCGGTCAGACACCGTTAGTAACGCACAGTTGGCTCCGTGGCAGCATGGACCTGATTTTTGGGGGATTATTTCCGAAGCGAGGACAAACCTGGAGCCAGCGATTTACATAGGTCGGGACCCAAGCGTCTGTCAGGGCCCCACGGCCACTAAAGGGCGAACTGTGTTGGTAATGGGCGTTGATTCGGCCACAGGCAGCGTTCAAGAAGACCCGGGGAGCCTGGACGGACCACCGGGTCAGACGATCAAGGGCCAGACTGCAGGGCCTAAGGGCACGAAAGGCTGGTCAAAGTCGTATTCGTGGGCCAAAGGCGTACGGAGACGGGCCCTCAAATGTCAGTCAAAAAGCCGTTTGTGCCGATCGCGGACTCCCTGAGTCGATATGGGCCTATGTGTCAGCCAGGCCCTACCAGTACTGCACAGTCAACTCCGTGTCGGTGTGGACCCGAGGGCCCACTTCCCAATCAGCAGTGGTGAAAAAGTGCCTTTTCTGTCGCCGACGAAATTTGGAGCTGTCTAAGTTGTCACCTGCGGTCAAATTTTTCAGAAACCGTCCCAATATAACTCTAAATGCAATAAACATCTTAGTGCAATAAATCACAAAAAGGCAAAGGCAAATTAAATGCAATGCGGCATAACCATCAAACATTTTTGTTTTGGGGAGTCCATTTGCACTAGTTTCATTTGCTGGCCATCAAACACTGAAAGAACTTTGAGACTAACCCGACTGAGTTATCAGATAAAGGCATACTTCACATAACTAGCTTAAAAACTTCCAGCGGGCGCGGGCAGCAGACGGGCCACTGGGTGGCGATGCCGGGCCGGGCGTCCGCCACCGGCCCGAGACGGCTATATGTGTAGACTGGAGAGGCGGCGGGCGTCTGGCCCGTGTCGGCTTACGGATCGGGCGAGTGGGCGGTGAGTCGTGGGTTCCCTGGCGGCGATGATCATATCTTGCTATTGTTAGGAGAGGCGCTCAGATTTAAGCGTTCCGCTTATGCGCCAATCCACTCTTCATGTCATGTACCGCTTAATGTCCATAGTCGAAATAAACATCAAATCAAACTAGCTAAAAGACGTGTAGTTTTGTATTCGGTTGGGGAAGAGCGGAGGAGAGACGGCATTGTGGCTCTTACGAGGGATGCAGTTTCCTCTTTTAGTGTCATTTTTCCATTATTTTTCAGTCATGATAATTTAGGGGCTCAGCTCCTAACAACGAATTTTGAGGAATTACGCCCCTGTTGCCAGCTGCGAAAAATTGCGTCGAATCTGGGGAAAATTGCTTTGAATGCATTTCGGAGGCAAGCTCAGACACTTTTTCTTCCTGCACCCTCCCGGTTCTCCTTCCATCCCTCAACCCTACGCAAAACCCTGCGCCCAAACCCTCAGCCCTACGCAACGTTGGCAAAACTGCATCCCTGTGTCCCTACATTTGCCGATAGCATGGTTCTACAAGCACGTGAAACAATATCATTTTTGTTTTCGCGACGTCATCGTACAATCAGCTGAAAGCGTTGGCGGCCTTCCCTATCTTAGCATAATCATTGTCGGTACAGAACTCGTACTTCCTAACATGATCCAACTATTTGGAGTAAAAACTACACAATAATCCCATCAACAGATACAAGCGACATTTTTTACGCTTCTAGCGTCCTCATTTCACTTTATATGCAATATGATGATATCTAAAAGCGCTTTATTTCATGTCAGTCCACTGATCAGCACGCTAAGTCTGAGGTGCAACGGGTAATGTGAGAGGCCTGCACCAGCGATGCTAGGCCTCTTACCTCAAAGCCACTGTTTCTCCCAGTAGCAGGAAGCCCCGGATGAATCTTCGACATGTGTCAGTCCAATAACATCCGTTTACCCATGAAGCTACGGCCTAGGTATCCACAAACAAAAATCCTGGATCAGCAGGGCTTCTTAACGATACTACCTTAAAAAACGGACGATTAGCTACGTTCTTCTAGCCCGTCAGCTTCTCTCGACATGAACACAACAAACAGCAGCCCACAGCCGCGCACTGAACCCAACGCATCACCGCGTGGCGAGCAATCAAGCCCAGGGGCGGATCCAGAAGGGGGCATGTCCCCATGCCCCCCTTGGGCCCCGAAGGGGACCACTGGCGCCGAGGGGGCCCAAAGCTGGCCAAACAGGTGCAGTTTTTTAACATAAGACGCAACAAAACTGGATATCTCTGGTGGACTTCCAAGCGACTAAGGACAGTTATTAGTGAAATTGAAGGACCCATGAAAAGTAAAAAAGAAAAATAAGCAATTGAAAGAGTTGTCAATTCCAAATTTTAAGCCTCATGACATTGTCTAGGGACCCCATGCTGTTTTCGGGGAATCTATATGCCAACTTGCAAGATCATTACGATCGTTAAGGAGCATTCCGCGTTACCTTTCATTTCTTTACACTTGTTCGGAGGGCTCTACGCTTTTTTGGGGCCCTTCCTTCTACCGTGCCGGAGCACTTTTGTTAATCATGGGCCCTTCGACGGATTCTTTCCATTCGCCAGAATGGCTCTGCGGACTGTTGCTGAGGTCTAATATCTTGACCTGTCGGGGTATTCTCGGTTGCTCAGGGGACCTCTACGTGGGTCTCGGTTAACGTACGGACACATTTGCGATATGCTCATAGGCCCTCTACATTGGTCTAGGGCTTTTCCCAATTCTCTGTCTCTTGCCTAGGGCCCTACACTCTTGTCGGGGGCCGATCTGACGGCCTGCTTGGGCAGACTCAGTCGTTCGGGAACCCTCCACACTGGGTCTTGGGTACTTCCTTTCTGAATGGATGGCCCCACGCACTTATCGGGGACCCCATCTGTTCGCCACTTCGGCCACACTAGATTGTTCGGGGCCTTATCTATTGGGTCTTGGTGTTTGTATTTAGGCCACCTGATGATCTGTTCGGGTATACTTCATCTTTCGGGAGCCCTCCGCACTGGGTTTTGGCTACGTCTGATTTCAATGGGGGGCCCCACGGTCTTATCGGACCCCTTCTGATAAGCTGCCCGGGCGCATTCCATCATTCTGGGGCTATTTACAGCGGTGCTTCTCATTCGAATGGAGGGCACTACGCTCTTGTTGGGAGCCCTTTTTGTTAGCCTGCTCGGGCTCACTCGATCATTTGGGGCCCTCTACACTGGGTCTTGGATAGTTCCTGTTTCAGTGAGGAACCCTGCGCTCTTGACGGGGGGGCCCTGTTGTTAACCTGCTCAGATGCACTGGGTCTTTTGGGTGCTCTGCATTGGGTCTTGAATGCTTTCTTTTTGAATGGAGGGCCCTACGCCTTTTTGGGAACCTCCTCTGTTAACCTGTTTGGATACATTCAGTCATTGGGGGCTCTCTACATCGGGTCTTGGGTACTTTCGACTTGAATGGAGGGCCCAACTCTCTTGACGGGGGCCTTATATGTTAACCTGCTCTTGCGCGCTTGATCGTTCGGAACCTTACACCTTACGCTTTGCGTCGTTAGTACTATTATTTGAATGGATGACCCTGTGTTCTTGGCGGACCCCATCTATTCAGCCATTCGGGCCGATGACGGATGCAGAGGGAGACGGGGAGGAGGGGCGGAGGAGGGTAGGAGAGGCACGGAACCATGCCCCACGGACTAAACTGGGGGAGGGGGACCTAAACGCTCCGGAGGGGCCAATAACCGGACGGACGGGCGCAGCTTTCTTACAACAAAAACACAACAAAATTGGATGTCTTTAGGCGCACAGATGACCAAGAACCGTTGTTGGCAAAAGAAAAAATTCATTAGTAAACGGAGTTCATTCTTCGCTGATTGAGCAATTGTTGCTTGGGGGACATTTTGGGGCTCATTACGCTGTCTAAAGGCATTGCGCCGTTCATTGCCTGGCCCTATGTGTCCACTTACCGGGTCAATCTGATCGCTAAGGAGCTTTCCACGCTGCTCTTGATCTCTTTGCGCTTTATCGTTGGGCCCAATGTGATGTTGGGATGCTACCTGCCTCCACGTCTGAGCACTGTTGGTCAATCAGGTTTTCCTCCACGGATTCTTCCTATT